ATCTGTAGGACGTAGCTGCAGTGGCTTTGAAAGTTCATCAGAAGTCCTCCCTGGGAAGTGGTGACCATGCTGCAGAAGGCACCTGGCTCTGGCTGGGTCTTTTCCAACCTTCAGATTCAATGATTCTCACCGGCTCATTGCAAGGACCACGCTCGCCTGGCAGGGAGCGGCAGGGTCTGCTGTGCCCCCTGTAATTTGGGATGCGCTTGGGGCTTTTGCAGTGGGCCAGGCACCTCCAAAGCCTCTGCTGGAAGAGACAGGGTGAGTGGCTTCCCCCACTGTGCCAGCTGGTCCCTGCATACCTTAAAGACCGATGTGTTTATAGCATGTGTGCAAACAAACTTCAAAGAGGGTAAACTGTATTCACGCCCCAAACTAGCATGAAAACCAGTGTGCTGCAAAAGAGAGGGTGTTCAGACTGTGTTGGTTTTAAGTTCTTGTCTGTGCTTGCCTGGGTTTTTTAGGAAGATTTAATGAAGGTTTGTCCCGTCAGAGCTGAGAAGGGCTCTGGTGGTGACAGTCACCTCCTGCCCGCTTCCCACGGGCACAGGCACGCCAGCTCCGTGGGGATCGTGGCTGTTGCTGTGAATCATCCTGTCTCTAAACTTGTCTGTGGGAAGTTTTTTCTCTGAAGTAGGGGGGTTGGAAGTATCCACTGACAGAGCTAGCAGCTTCAGCAGCCTCGTGCCTCCAGCTTTTGGCATCCAGCACTGCTGCGGTTGAACCCCATGGAGCGAGGGGTGTCTGCCCGATGCCCCCCTGGGGCCACAGCACCTTCACGGGGGGCTCCCCCGGCAGCCCCATGCCAAGCCTGCAGGGCTGGCTCCTGTCTGAGCTGGCTACTGGAGAGCCGTGCTCCCCACCTGCTTCTGCAAAACCTTCCTGACCAAAGCCCTGCTCCTCGGGTTCCCTGCGAAGGGAACCCGCATTACTGCAGCGCTTCTCATCGCAGCGAGCAGGCTGGAACGTGGGCTGAGGCTTATCCGCTGTATTATGCACAAAGGGCTATTTAATTATTTACAGGCTGACATATATCATTTAATATATAAAGCTGAACCATCTACCAGCCCACAGGCAGAATGGCCGAAAGCAGCCTGCTTGGCACCACGTTTTATCTGAAATCCCTCGATGCTAGCTTTGTTTTGCATAGCACTTTGTAATACTGTTAGTTGACTTGGCTGCAGTTTCACAAAGCATTTTTTTTCCACTTGGTTCAACACTCACTTGAATTTAATGGGACTGGAGCCAAACAAGTAATGGAAGCCAAGTGCCGACGTTTGTTTGGTGTGCAGTTCCTGACAAGGAATATATATAGTAATTGTCTCTTGCTCCTCAAAGCTGTAACTTTGGCAGAGGGGGTACTTGAGTTAGCATGCCAAGAATTTAAAATCATAATCAGTCAGTGATGAAAACATGTATTTATGGCCATAATGAGTTGCATCAAAGCAAGAAACATTTGTCTTCTCTATAGAAGTAACAATGTCTCTTAATTCAGAAATGCCTACTTTTAAATCACACAAAGATCTGTCAGAGTTAAAAAGCTCTGAGAGCTTGGCCTGGTGTCCGGCTTATTTCACAGCAATATTCCCAATATTCGCTCAGAGCTGCAGATTTAGCCATGGTTACTAGGTTCTGCATCGAGGCATGATAAAAGACTGTTGCACCATTTTAGGCACTTAGGGCATGTCATTAAAACATTCTGTAATCCTGGACTTGCAGCTAGATTTCTTGTTTGGTTTTTGAATGCTTGATTTTATTTTATCTTGCTGTTTCTTTCTGGCATATCAACGATTTGTTCTGGTTTGGGGCTGCTGTAACGTGGGAGCTTTCTGTGGTTCCCAGAGGAGTGCTGGATGCAGTGAGGGTGTGAGAAGCAGCAGTATCTGCGATGCACTTAGGACTGATAGCAAGAGCAGGCATGAATCTGGGGTGTTCCTGCTTGAGCGAATCCGTTTCCATTCAGCCCACCCTTTATGCCAGCATCACTGCTGCATTTCAGCTGGAAGAACCTTATTGCTGTCAAAAAACCCCCACTGAAAAAAATGCAGTTTATAAACAACTGCTTTTTAATAACTTCCTCCCGACTCACATGTTGAGTCATCTCTCCCCAGCCTGTAGGAAGGAGTGCAGATGTCATCTTCCTAATGCGGTGGCACGTTAAGTGAAGATGCTATGTGGAGTTCCTGGCTTGCATCCCGAAAAGCAGCGGAGCTGCTGTCGGGATGCTGCGCCCAGAGGACCCGGCTCTGAATCCCCTGGCGAAGTGCGTGCGGACGGCAGCGAGCTGAGCTGGGGAACCTGAGCTGGCTCTGCCCCGGACGGGGCTGCGGGTGGTCGGGTGGGTGTTGCTCAGTTTTGGTTTGTTTTTCTCTTGTGGTTTGTAGGTAGGGTATTATTGCTTGCTGCTGGAGTGTTTGGTGGGCTGCGACCTGTTCGGGAAGTCCTGGACCGTCCATCCGAGTGAGGATGGTGACAACGTGACAATAGCCTTCAGCTGGAGCCCGCGGGCTGGCCAGCTTATCCCCAGTTTTACGTGCCCACCTCGGCGGCTCTTCTCTGCAGACTTTGACATTGTCATCTGTTATTCTATATGGCTCTATGTCTGTTATTCTGCGTGCTACTTCTGTTTTAACTTGTAATATAGAAACATTTCAATGCTTATCAGTTGTGTTAGAGCATTTTTACATTAATAGGTTAAATTCACACTTACGTTTTTGAATTTCAAGCCTTATTTTCATTTTTAAATGGAAAGTTTGGGGGTTTTCATAAATGTCATTTCACAAGAAACTTGTATTACATAACTTTAATTTCTTCAAATGCTAGTGAAAACAGAAACCAAATAAAACTCTTTAACAGCTTAAAAAGAAGAGTTAACCTGCTCCGTCTGCTTCCCCAGACCTGTGAAGCTGCAGAAATTCCTTGCAGCCTGTCCAATGGTACCTTCCTGGTAATACTTCAGAAAATAGGACCGTTCTGGTTTAATTGCGGTAAAATGTATTGGGCGTTAAAACGTGCTGAGCTGGCTGTTGTGCAAAAAACCTACTTCTGTCTGTGACCAAAAGGAAATAGATCCATAAGGGACAGGGAAATTACCGACCTTCTGGTCGGTTGACTTTGACCGTGGCAGCCCCTCAGATCGTACTGGGGAGATGAGGAACTAGAGCATCTCCAGCTCTGCTCGTCCCCGTGGTTTGCCAGTTCTGAGATGCATTCAAATAGCACAAAAATATTTATTTCCCAAATGATATTGGAAACAGGGCAGAACCACTGTCATAAGAATTCTTTGCATGGAAGAACTATGTTGGAAATATATGTGAGTTTTTAAAAGCCTTTTCTTTCTGTGAGATTTGAAGGTGGTTTATGCTGAAGTTCTGGCTGAAGGTAGAATGCTTTAATGCTTTTAATGCCTTTTTTTTTTCCCTGCTTTCATCCTTATTTGTACTTCAGAGTTTCTGTTTCCTCATCGATGTAAAGCCCGAGCAGTATAATCCTCCACAGTTTTAGTGATCTCATCTGGGATGTTGCCCATTTTCATTGTATTAGAATAATGTATATCTTGTGCACATGCACAAAGCCTCGTTGCTTGCCGTGGTGATGGGGGCACTGCAGAGTTTGGAGGGGGTGTTTCAGAGCCAAGATCTCTATTCAGCTGCTTTTCTCCCAATACCTCA